AGCATGGAAAAAGGTTTGCGACAAGGTGATCCCTTAGCCCCATTCTTATTCCTTTTGGTTGCTGAAGCACTTAACGGGTTGATTCACAAAGCAAAGGAGTTAAATAAGTATAAGGGGGTGGAGGTGGGAGAGGAACGGCTGGAGGTCACACACCTCCAATTTGCTGATGACTCCATTTTCTTCTGTGATGCACTAGACTCGAATATTAGAGCAATCAAAGGGATCCTCCAAACCTTCGAGCTTGTCTCAGGACTCAAAGTGAAGTTTTTCAAAAGTGCTTTGTATGGAATCAATGTAAAGGTAGAGGATATAAGTGAATGGGCAGAATCTCTAAACTGTGTGGTGGGTGCGGTGCCATTCAAATACCTCGGGATATCAGTTGGAGCTAACCCAAAGAAGCTATCAACCTGGGCACTATTATTGACTGCCTGAGACATAAATTGTCAAACTAGAAATGCGAACCGCTGTCCTTTGGCAAAAAAATTGTCCTCCTTAATGCTATCCTGTCAAGTATCCCGGTCTACTTCTTTTCAACCATGAGAGCACCCAAAAAGGCATCTAATTTTCTGGCCTTAATTCAAAGGAGATTTCTATGGGGAGGTAGGGAGGGTTATAGGAAAATAGCATGGGTGAGTTAGGAGAAAGTATGTAGAAGTAGAAAAGAGGGAAGATTAGGTGTTAAAGACTTGGACAGAATTAATATGGCTTTCTTAGGAAAATGGAGATGGAGGTTGGTGGTTGAAAAAGAGGCATTATGGAACAGGGTAGTAGAGGCAAAATATGGGGTTCATAAGAAAATGGATTGGGAGGGGAAAAATGTGAAGCATAATTCTTCATATTGGCGGAAGGCAGTGTGGAAGCTAGATAAAGAAGTAGGGCATAATGAGGGATGGGTTTACAAGGGCTTGGTGAAAAGTGTGGGGGAAGGGAACGACACATTATTTTGGCAGGAGAAATGGTGTGGGGAGATGACTCTTAAGGAGAAATTCAACAGGCTATTCAGAGTGGCAGAAGCTTTGATTAAAAATATGGGCGAATGGAGGAATGCAGAATGGACTTGGAAGTGGAGTTGGCGTAGGGAGTTGATTGGAAGAGCATACCTTATTGCAGGACCTTGAGAAGCTGATGCAAGAATGCAAACTGAAGGAAGGAAGGTAAGACAACTGGAGTTGGAAGCATGATCCGAATGGATCTTACTCAACAAAATCTGCTTACTCCCTGTTAAATATCAATATAGAGGAGCAGGAATCAATTCAGTTCAGCAAGGTATGGAATCCTATGGTGCCACTTAAAGTCTCAGCTTTGGTGTGTAAACTTTTGCAAAATAGAATTCCTATTGGTGAAAATTTGCTAACAAGAGGCATAGGTGGAGGTGAACCAGATTTTGCATGTATTTTCTGTGGAAAACAAATGGAAACAACAAGCCACTTATTTTTCACTTGCGAGGTAACCTGGGCGGTTTGGCAAGCATTTTATGCATGGTGGGGACAGCAAGGTGTTCTTACATGTGAAGGTTCGAAGGATCTATAGCAACACACAGGCATAATACGAAATGGAAAATTAAAAGAAACTTGGTATGTGTCATGGTTCTCAGTTATCTGGTCCATTTGGCTATGGAGAAACCGATTAACTTTCAAGGAAGGCAAGGACACTCCTGATACAGTGCTGGAGTTAATCAAGGTACGCTCACTTCACTGGATTAAGGCCAAGACTAATTCTGAATTGGCTAAAGAATAATGGTGGAAGAATCCTAAGGAAGCTCTAAAATGAAATAGAATTATCTTGTGATTAAGTAGTGGGTTTGATCTGATTTTGTAATTCAAGATATTTGCAGGATGATGTAATGGGTTGGAGTACCCCTTGTACTCATGTTTCTAATTTAATTAATCTTCATTTTGCCGATCAAAAAAAAATATATATAATATAATGTATTTTAAAATAATAAAAAATTAATTTTAAATAATATAAATTTTATTTTTTAATAATTTAAATAATTGATTTATACACATTATTATCCCAGATTTTGATCTAAAGTTTTCGCCTATTTATCATTATTTAATTTTAATACAGGTGGCTTTAAAAGTTTATTTAATTGTGCCTATTTATTCTCATCTTTCTTCCCCTCTTTTATCCTCTCTTTCTCTTTCATATTTTTCCATACCTGAATTTTGAACTCTAACAACAAACAATTCCAAATCAAAATCTAAAAAGACTAATACACAAGTTTTTCACCTATCTTATATTCTTTTCCTCCCTCCGTTGTTATTTCTTCCCTCCCCTTTCCACCTCTCTCTGCAAATTCAATATGACAACGATTCAACCCAAATTCGATGATGCCCCAACTCCAGCACAACTTGAGAGAATCTTGGTGTGGTGATGAAGGGTGGGATGAAGTTTTGGCTTCTCGGGTTTTGTGGGAAATGGAGGGATCATTCTTCTCCCATCATTTAATGAGCCACATTA